GTGTGTGTGTGTGTGCGGAGTGACAGAATGCCCTGTCACCACTCTTTCGGTTTTCCAGCAGGGGGCACAGGCCCATGGTGGTGACCTGTGCCAACGAAGCTAACCACCATGGGGGAAACGCGGACTGATCATCCGCGTGTACCTGCTTTTGTGATGTTTCTGAAGGTCCTTTTGGTCCCCTCCCTGAACCGCCGTTGCTTTGTGTGCCCCTGTTCAAGTAACTAGAGTGAAGCTGAGTGAGGTGCGAGTCGAAACTCACCATACTCGAGACTCATCAGTTGTACTCGAAACTCATCAGTTGTACTCGAAAGATTAGCACTCTCCATCTGGAGTTCAAGTGTGTACACCCCATTCGTGGGGAATCCTCGGGTGTACCCATTCTTATCATAGAACAGCGGAATTTCACATTTAATCAGGAACGAGGTTTCACTAAAGGGAAGAAAGCCGTCAGTTCATAGAGACGTCTCACCACAGCGGATAGCTGCCGATTTTCATTGCATTTCTTGACTATTGGTTGAACTCGTTGCTCGTATCACTGCGGTTGGTGATTGCTGACTTGTATTTGCTTCCCTTGTGCATGTCGAGTGACCATTGCAGTTGAGGGCTGCTATCTTGCATTTGCATTGATTTGAACGTTTTCGAGTCTGAGTATCTCAAGGAGGAAGTGCGCAAATTCAGAGTCGGTTGCGTCACCATGTCTCGACGGGATGATCGTGATAGATCCAGGACTCGACGCAGACGTGATCGGAGTCCGTCCCCTCAAGCTCACAAATCACGCCGACGTGAGCACAATGACAACCAGGTCGCGGAGAACATGGATTGGAACAACTTGGTCTCATGGCAGCACAACTCCGGCTACAACGCTGCTAACAACTTTCCGATGATGCCCACCAATTTTCAATCGACTCACAACCCCACACAACAATTCCAATACCCGGCGATCAACTACATGATGCCGATCCCTCCTGATCCCACGCCATCCAAGTTCATGCCACCAGTGATGCCACCACCGGTCACTACCTCCCAACCTACACCATCACCTGCACCTCCTGCGGCTCTACCGGTTCGTCCTCAGAAAGCCTGGCTTACTCCATCGCCTGACTGGACACCAGGAGACGGCATATTTGATGTCAACCAGCTCTACAACTTCAGCCTGCCCATGACTGTTGCCAACACTCCGCATGGCAACCTTCGCGACATGTCCGGCATGGATATTAGAGACGTTCGCCTGGTTCAGGTTATCCACGGGGGCCTCACCAACTGGCTCCTCCGGCCGTTTGCACACGGCCGCTTCGTGACGTGGGAAGGCTTTCGCACCCGCACCGAGGCCTTGCTTTGGAGTACCTGCTCCAAATTATTGCGAAGATCGCAGTCACTTAACCTGCTCACCCTGGAGAAGGACCTTGCCAACACGATGGGTCTCAACATTGATGACTTCAATCAGCGCATCAAGGTCCACGACCATTTGGCCAACTTGGTACTTCAATTTCTTCAACAACATCACACCTCTCTCGCACCCGCTGACCAGACCGATGACATGGTCAAAAAGTTCAATGATTTGAATCGTGCTCACGAACTTCTCCAGGCTCAGTATTCCGCATCACTTCGTGCATCAACTTCTCCCACGATGACAAACCAGAAGGATGATGCAGAGTTGGTTACACCACCACCGGTCAACCACACACCATCCTCCTCACCTGCCAGCTCCCTTCCCACAGCCAGCGCGGCCGCCCTGGATGGCAAGTCGTTTGATAGCGTGGTGCAACCTCGGATCATGCAGTCTCTTCACGGAATGTCGTCACCGCCGTCCAAACCGGCGGCGTCACAATTGCTCACCATGCACAGCACGCCGGAGGAAGTTGTCAAGTACTACACATGGACCAGCGACCAACCACGCCTTTTCCTCAAGCAAGCACCCACAACAACCACTTTGGCATCGCTGGTTAAGTGGGCCAATCACCCGTCCCGGCTCAACGGCAACAAGTCATTAGATTCTATGGCGACGCAGCTTCTTCAGGTCAGGCAACGCATGCCGAAGGGCGATGCGCCCACACTCGGTGCAATGGCAGCATCATGGGGTCTTGAACCCGGGTACCTTACCAAACTCACTGAGAAGGCATTGAGTCACCTCATCGTGACCGCTCGCCTGCTCTGTGGATGAGAAGGCATCATGACGACCTTCGTTCTCATATGAGCCCGGCGCGGCAACAATGTTACGGATGAGTCCAGGTGAAAACTCGTCCGTCAAGTGTTTGCGTTGCACATGATTGATCTTGTACTTGCTTGTTCTTGCATTGCCTCTTGTGTGATTGTCTGTGATGCTTGTATTCATGTCGCCGCCTTGTGGTAGATTTCGTTGGTTGCATCTCACCATGTTGGATGAACTTCGCCGCTGCGGAATCTATGATGATGTTGCACAATGGCAGTCGCTGGACGACCTTCTGCACTCGTTGACCATATTCTCTACGTGCTGGCATTACTGTTTTCCTGGACTACCACCACCGTCGATTCCAATTGAGGAGTACGAATCCATCACACAATTACCGTGGCTGGGTCTCATCCTCGAGGTCTTAGTTGTGGTCCGGATAGCCCTTCAGATTCCGAATCGTGCTATGTCCAGCTCTAATCACACCGTGGCTAACAGATATGAGCTTCACAGATGTCGGTGCGCAGCCTATTTATTGATCAGTTTCTTACAACGTCTTATTTCACAAGATCACGGCTACTTCCCGCCGTTCTTTGAAGTCCTCCACTTCTACAAGACTTCTCTCTTGTGTGAAATCATGCACTCGACTTTCGCTGACACGCGACATCTACGCTCATTGCGGGCGCGATTTCCTGACCTCTATGACTTCATATATGATCCAGGTCATCACCAGCAACCGTGCGTCTACATTCGCCTTTCCCCATGGCACACACCATACTATGTTGGGGCGACTGATCAGGATGTGCTACGTCGTGAACACTCACGCAGTCGAAAATTTCTACAACTGCTTCGTGGACGACATGCCTTCTTTGAACCGGCGCTTCACTACTGGAAACGATCCAACACCTACTGGCTCTACTGTGCTGTACCAGTGGAAATCAAACTTCCAGTTTCCTCGGTGTGGGTCCAAGAAAGCAAATGGCAATACCTGCTACGCCCGCATTTAAATGCGCCCTGGGTACACAGAATCTTGCGCAAGGTGGGCTTCCGGGAACACCTTGTAGACTTTCGACGCCACTCGTTGTCATCCCCCACTTCCCTCGGCTTGCACAAGCGCTTTCGACGACGACTGCATCCGGATCTCCAACGACAACTACGACCTGACGCACTGGATGACATTCAAGCCCACTACTCGATTCTCTATCAGCTGGGATCGAATACAGGAGCGTCGTTCCAAGTCATGCGTGACCTACTGTCAGCCGCTTTCCCTCCCATTCAGCTGTACTACTTATTGCGGCTCGCAGTATTTGTCAACGAACCCTTCCGCTCCAAGGCCCAGAAGCTACTCGCCCAGGTACTGCGCAAACGACGGCTGCAACCACCCTCCACTCTGACACAGCTACTTTTGCCGCCGCTGCATGTCCAAAATTGGAAAGCGCTACTTGGCACATGGTTACAAAACTGGATTGCTTCCCATCGGGATCTGTTCCCTTCTCTTTTCATTCCAAAGATCCGGGTTGTGGAAACCCGCAGCGCCACATTGGGCGACAAGATATACAACTATCGCACATGGCAGCGTAAATGGACGCCTGACACATCCTTTCCGTGTCGCCCCTTGTCTCAAAGTCATTGATTGCCTGCGTGCGCAGTCGTCTAGCAAGAACTCTCGTAGAGGCTGCGGGAAAAGACCGGGAGCCAAGACCGGGAAGGTTCGGGAGAAGACAGGGAAGACGTCGAGCAGTGACCGGGAAGGCGTCGCGCAAAAACCGGCAAGGCCCCGGGAGAAGACCGGGAAGGTGTTGCGCAATGGCCGGGAAGGTCCCGGGAGAAGACGGGGAAGG